CGTCGCGGGCGTTGATTGGGAAAGCCACCGAGCCCGGCAGCGTTCCGGCGCCGATTCCAGGCGAGACGCTGGAAAGGTCGAGGCCGGCGGCAGCGCTGAGCGTCGCCGTGTCGAGGGCGACGCTGGTGAAGCCGCTCTGCACGTCGGCTTGAGCGAAGGCGAGCGTTGGAACAGCCAGGGCGGCCACCAGAGCGGTCGTAAGATGCTTCATGGGGAATCTCCTCAAAGGTGAAACGGAGCGAGGTCAGTGATTTAACGGTCGCGCAGGAGCGGATTCTCACCGCAGGGGTAGAGCAGCGAGGCCGCTCCCAGAGGTCGGGATGCGGAGACGGAAGTCGCAAACACCGGAGACGGCCAAAAGAAATGGCCGAGCGACTCTCAGGAGCGGAATCGCACGTTACCGGCTCGACGGGTCATTAGCAGTCGGTTGAAGGCGATTGGCTAATCTTCAAGGACGGGCTTGTTGTTCTTTAGGCGGGCGGTGAGAGGCGGCAACCCCGCGACGTACAAAAAATGGGCGCCGCCGCTGGGGGGGGGCGAACCGGGGACGTCAGTCCTCGGTGGACGGCGCGTACCCACTCCCCACCGAAGACTGACGTCCCCGGCTCGCCAAAGATCGCCCCTCCTGCCAGCAAACGGGGGAAACCGCCAGTGTGCAGGCCTTGATCTTCAGTGGAAATCTGCGATACTCCGCGATTCTCGCCGGTCCGGCGGCTCCCAGAAGGGCCTGCCGCGGTGAGAGCAGCACCTTACCCCGTCCGGGCTGAGCCGCATTGGTTCCTTTGTTGAAAGGGATTGTGGGTCCGCCGTTCCGAGGAGTTTTTGATGTCGGATACGCTCACCGCCGCCAAGCGGGAGAAGATTGGCTCGCGCGCCAGCATGCGTCTGCGGGCCGAGGGGCTCATCCCCGCCGTCCTGTACGGCCACAAGGAAGCCCCGGTCAGCCTGTCGCTGCAATTCACCGAGCTTCGCAAGTCGCTCGCCCACAAGGCGAAGGTCGTCAACCTGAGCGGCGACGCCTCGGGTCAGGCGATCATCCAGGCTCTGCAATGGGATACGTTTCACCGTGACCTGCTGCACGTTGACCTGCTGCGGGTCGATGCCGGTGAGCGCGTCCACGTGACCGTGCCGATCGAGACCAAGGGCGAGGCCGCTGGCCTGAATGAGGGTGGCGTTGTCACGGTCGTCTTCGACCACGTCGAGATCGAGGCCGCCCCGGCGAGCATCCCGGAGGTGCTGCACTTGGACGTCACCAACCTGCACATGGGTGGCAGCCTCTCGGCAAGCGACATCACCGACCTCCCCGAGGGCGCCAAGCTGCTGACCGAAGCCGACACGGTGCTGGTCCACTGCGTGCCGCCGGCGGGCGCGTCGAAGGAAGACGAGGCGGCGGCGGCCGCTGCCGCTCCAGAAGTGATCCAGAAGGGCGGCGAGCAGGAAGGCGCCGACGAATAAGTGCGAAACGCCCCTCGCCGTTGGCCCTTGGCCACCGGAGGGGGAGATGCTTTGGGGGACGGGCCGATGAAGATCGTCGTAGGCCTCGGCAACCCGGGCAAACAGTACGAGGCGACGCGGCACAACGTCGGCTTCGATGCTTTGCGGCTCCTGGCGGATCAGTGGTCTGCCGAGACGCCCAAGTCGAAGTTCGACAGCTACGTCGCCGAGGCGATGGTCGAAGGGCAGCGAACGCTGCTTGTTTGGCCGCAAACCTTTATGAACCTCAGCGGCAAGGCGGTCCGCCAAGCCGTTGGGTTCTACAAGACGCCGTTAGAAGAGCTGCTGGTGGTCTGCGATGACTTCGCCCTGGAGACAGGGCGGTTGCGGGTCCGGGCGAAAGGCTCTTCGGGCGGACAAAACGGGCTGAAGGACGTGGCCCGGCAGCTGGGGACCGAAGACTACCACCGCCTGCGGATTGGGGTCGGCCCGGTCCCTAGCGGACGCAGCGCGTCGGACTTCGTGCTCGGCCGGTTTGCTCCGAAGGAGCGGGAACTGGTCGATGTGGCGATCGCCGACGCGGCCGCCGCGGTCGCCTGCTGGGCGAAAGCGGGCGTCCTCGAAGCGATGAACAAGTTCAACGGCGTCGGGTCGTGAGACAAGCCGCCGACACGAGATAAAGCACAGAGATACTTCAACCATCACGCGGCGCCGCGGCGCCGCCAACGAGGGCGACTCCCTTGGCACAGAACGTTTACGAAGGCCTGTTCATCTTCGACGCGAACAAGTTCGCTCGGGATCACGACGCGCTGCCCAAGGCGGTAGAAGAGATGATCACCTCCGAAGGGGGCGAGGTCGTCGTCAGCCGCCTCTGGGAGGAGCGCCGCCTCGCTTACCCGATCAAGGGTCAGCGCAAGGGCGCCTATTGGCTGATCTACTTCCGCACCGAGGGAGACAAGATCACCGGCCTGAACCGCGCCTGCGAGCTCAAGAGCGGCGTCTTGCGGCACATGGTGCTGAAGATTCATCCGCGTCTGGTCGAGCCGATCCTCGAGCACGCCGCCTCGGCGCCGGTCCACGGACCCGCGGGCGAGGGCGAAGCCGCCCCGGTCGCCGAGTTCGCCGGTTCGGGCGACGGGGATTGAACCCGAGTCCGCTGAACGTTTTTTGCTCACCGCGTCTTTAGCCCCGTGGCGAACCTCCATGGCCAGCTACAACCGAGTCGTCCTTGTCGGCAACCTGACGCGCGACATCGAACTACGGTACATCCCCAGCGGGACCGCTGTGGCCGAGATCGGCCTGGCGGTCAACGATCGCGTCAAGCGGGGTGACCAGTGGGTCGATGAAACAACTTTCGTCGATGTGACCCTGTGGGGCCGCACCGCCGAGGTCGCGAATCAGTATCTCAATAAAGGCTCCAGTATCCTGATCGAGGGTCGGCTGAAGCTCGACACCTGGGAGAAGGACGGCCAGAAGCGGTCGAAGCTACGGGTCGTGGCCGAGAAGATGCAGATGCTCGGCGGACGCGGCGAGGGTGGCGGCGGTGGAGGCGGCTCGCGCAGTACCGGCTCGAGGGCCCCCGCTCGCCAGCAAGATAGTTATGACAGCGGCGATGACGGCGGCTACGGCGGCGGCGGGTACGACAACTACTCGTCGGCGCCCGCAGCCCCGCCCGAAGACGATATTCCATTTTGAGTGGGTAGTCGGCAGTCGGCAGTGGGCGGTTTTTTGCTCACGGCTTCCTGCCCACTGCCTACTGCCCACTGCCCACTTAAGCAGCCATGGCCACTACCAAGCAGAAGAAACTCAAGCGCACCCCGACCCGCGCCAAGCGCCTGCCGCTCGGCCCTAGCGGCGGCGTGCAGCTGCTCTTGATCCAATCGGTCGAGCACCTCGGCAAGCAAGGCGAAGTCGTCGAGGTCAAGTCGGGCTACGCCCTGAACTACCTCATCCCTGAGGGGCTCGCCACGATCGCCAACGACCACCACAAGCGGATGGTCGATAAGCACAAGGCGAAGCTCGCCGAGATCGAGCGTGAACGGCAGGCCGAACTACGTAAGCAGGCCGCCGAGATCACCAAGCAGAGCGTCACGATCGAGGCCAAGGCCACCGAAGAGGGTCACCTCTACGGAAGCGTCGGCGCGGTGGAGATCATCGCCGCCCTGAAGAAGCAGGGCATCACGATGGCCGCCGAGCAGATCAAGCTTGAGGGCGTGCTCAAGGAGCTGGGCCTCTACACCGTCAAGATCCGCTTCTCCAGCGAGGTCGAGGGCGAGCTCAAGGTCTGGGTCGTCCCCGCCGTTGGCGATTGAAGCTAACCTCAGCTGCTGCTAGCAGTTAGATACACGAGGCAGCCGTTCCGATGGGACGGCTGCCTCGCTCTTTGATGGAGACTAATTTAGGATAGCGTCATGCGGAATGACCAACGACGAAGCCCAATGACCAATAAGGAGCTGCCGCTCCGCCATCATTGGACATTGGGGCTTGGTCATTG